ACGAATTGTACATCCATCTGTAAAACAGTAAAGAATACAAACCTTAAGAGATCCTGGGAAAGGGTTGGAGGGGGAGCAGAAGGGGATGGACAAAATGGGTGAAAGAGACTTGGAGATACAAGCTTCCAGTTATGGAATGAATAGGTCATGGGAATAAAAGACACAGCATAAGGCATATAGTCAATAATACTGCAATAGTGTTGTACGGTGACAGATGGTAGCTACACTTGTGGGGAGCACAGCATAAGGAATAGAGAATGTTGAAATGCTGTTGTACACCTGAAACTAATGTAACTGTGTGTTAATTATACTAAAAAAATTTTTTTAAGAGAGATCCTTGTGAGAATGGAGAGAGAAAATGTGAAAAAGTACTTAGTAAACTATAAAGCATGACACAGAGCTTCACATTAATCACTGCTTACTAAAGGAAGTAAAGTGGTGATAGGAAGGTACCCACAAATCATACAGTATGAGCCTTCTATATCTGGCTTGTTTCACTTAGAACAACACTTTTGAGATTCATCCATGTTGTTGTATGTATCTGTAGTTCACTCCTTTCTATTGTCGAGTGTTACTGTATATTAGTGCACACATATTCTATCTCAATAAAACTGATTTTTTGAAAAAACCGGTAACATATAGTAAAATATTGGAATTTTCAGCAAACTTTTAAAGATACCACTCTAACTGCAAAATGTATTCTAAATTCTTCTGTGGCACAGAACTCAGGGTTAGAGGCCTGTTACAATATTACAATTTGCCATTTTTTGGTGCTCAGACTCTGAGTACATTAACTTACCTGTAAAACAATACAAATCTCAAAAGATTCTTGTGAGAATGGAAAAGAGGAAAAGTATTCTGTAAACTATAAGGCGTGATACAAAGTATCCACACTAATCACTGCTTACTCAAAAAAAGCAAGAGTTTCGGAGGCGCCTGGGTGGACAAGTCGGTTAGCGTCCAACTCTTGGTTTCAGCTCAGGTCATGATTTCAGGGCTGTAAGATTGAGCCCCGCGACGGGCTCCACACTCAGCGCAGAGTCCGCTTCAGGCTCTCTCTCTCCCTCTGCCCCTCCCCGGTGCATGCGTGCTTGCTCTCTCTCCTTCTCCCTCTAAAATAAATAAATCTTTAAAAAAAAAAGTTGTGACTAGAAAAATACTGACAAATTAACTGATGGCTTATAAAATCAGTCCCTCCTCAAACACACGTGCCTCTTCCTCCTCCTAGCTATGTGATCTAAGACAAGTCACTTAACCTCTCTGAGCCTCATTTTCTCCCATCTGTAAAATGGAGCTTATTAACAGTAGATACCACATACTGAAATGAGTAAATATGTGTAAAGCACTTGGTATAATGCTTTACAGATTTTAGCTCTTCTAACAAAATACTATTATTTTTACCCTACCAAACCTAAACCTAGCAGCCATCCTACCCGTCCAAGGTGCAATAGTGTAGGTTGTATCAGTAATCTAGAGCAGGGCTTCTCAAACTTTCAGTGAGCAGAATCACCTGGAGAGCTTCTCTAAAAAAAACAAAACTTTTTTAGATGAGTTCTAGATTTAAAGAATTATTGCAAAGATAGCACAGAGAGTTCCCATAGATCCTATATACCGTTCCTCCTACCATTAACATCTGATGTTAGTATGGTACGTTTGTCATATTCCGTGAACCAATACTGATACATAGTAACAGCCATGCTCTATTCAGACTTCCTTAGTTTTCCCCTAATGGACTTCTTCTGTTCTAGAATCCCATCCAGAATACCACATATATAGTCATATCCTGCAGTTTTTAACACACAAGTTACTGAAACCCAAACATTCCTAATGAGAGCAGTATGAGGTGGGGCCCAAAAATTTGCATTTCTAACAAGTTCCCAAAGGATGCTGGTGGGGCCAATCTAAAAATACACGGAGAACAGCTCTGGTCTAGATTCTAGACTCCAGAAGTGATGTTCAACACAGTGGCCACTAGCCAAATGTGGCTACTGAGCATTTTAAGTGTGGCTAATCTAAACTGAGATGCCCTGTATATGTAAAATACACTGAAGATTTGAAGACTTAGTCTGAATAAAAGAATCATGCTGATTACATGATGAGATGATAAAAAAAATTTATTTTACTTGGGTTTTTCTCCCCCATTTTTACTTTTTACCATGTGAGTACTAAAAAGCTTTAAAATCACACAGGTGAGGGGCACCTGGCTGGCTCAGTCAGAGGAGCATGCAACTCTTGATCTCTGGGTCGAGTTTGAGACCCATGTTGGGTGGAGAGATTACTTAAATAAAAATAAAATAAGGTTACACAGGTGACTGGCACTGTACTTCTACTGGATTGCAGTAGTTTGTGGTCTGGGCAGTAGAGCAGCAGCAAGGGTATCACCTGGGGGCTTCTTAGAAGTTCAGGTGATTCCCATACACATTAAAGTTCGAGAAGCACTAATTATCAACAGGGGAGGGATACTTAGACACGTCAGAATTTGGCAGTTTGGTTCAAATAAAAAACTAATCAACTGCAAACTGAACTGCAAGATATGTTAGGTCAATAAAAGTAATAGGGAAATGGCCGAATCATAGCAAAGTCATCCACAACTGAGGATGTGGCATAATTAGACCACTTAACAGTTGAAGAAAAGAAAAACCACATAGATAGTGGCCCAATGGGTTCCTCAAAAGAGGGTAATTTGAAAAGCATGATTTGAAATACAATGATGCTATGTGATACCATCATACTTTTTCATGTCTGATTCATTCCACAAAACCGTGCATATTTGCAATTAAAACTAAAAATGTTAAATATAAGATTAAGGTTTACTTTCTCTTTTCTCTCCCACTACTAGAAAACTGTAATGTCCATTTTGGGCAGATTCACCTTAAGTTACCTTTTCTTAGTACCAATTTTCTCAGGTAAGCAAAATACTGGTTGTGCCACATAAGGATTTTACACATCACTATGTTCACTGTTTCATTTCAGTCAATTTAAAATTTATTACCCTATTACTCTCAGGAATGTCAACTGCACAACTTCAAGTACATAAATTTGTAAAGCCCATGGTCTATCCATCTATTTTAAAAAAGCACCAGAGACTTCATAATTAATGAAATAAAAACCAAATGATTAACTACAAATAATAAGCTGTTTTTCTATAGCATTTATAGTACAAGTTTTCACTTGTGCCTCACAACTGGTAAAGTAAAAAAAAAAACACTTAAAGATATATATTTACTATATATAGATAACTAATCTTTATGAATGGCATATTAAGAATCAATGAGTTAGCAACCTTTTCCAACTTTTATGGCTGATAAAGTAAAAGAAAAACCTATCAACAAATCCTGGGCATACACACACACACACACACACACACACACACATACATATAATCTGTTTCATTACAGTTAATTTTTTCCCCAAGAAGAAACACCTGCAGAGCTACATGGAACCATAGGTCACACATATGCGTCCAGGTTGTCTGGCTCTTCAGGGTGCATGGCTCAAGGTTAAGTCTTCAGATCCTACTTTTAGGCACGGCTCTGGGCTCTCAAATCCCTTTTCTGAAACATTTTCAAGGCATTTCAAGACAAAGGAAAAGAGAAAATTACTAGCACCAGCAGCCGGAATGTCTACTCAGACAAGAAAAGGTACAGAAAGATGACCCATTCTTGTAACACACCTTCCTATAGATCAGGTAAGGAACACTGGATCTAGGATCTAGGAACACAGCTCTAGGCCATCGTTTCCCAAGTTTTCAGTACAAAACAGGCATGGCTAGGGGCTAGATACTTTTTAACAACCTTCCACTCCAACAGTCTTCCGAGGTCTCACCTTCGGAAGTGTGGCAGAATCTGACCCAGAAGCCGAGTGACTCCTCACTTGATGCGCCTTCCTCCACATTTCCTTCCCTTTGGAATATGTGCATAAATATTCGATAAAAGCTGCTCTCGTGTGTCATAATTAGCCATAAAACAATTCTAGTGTTAGCTGCCTTAACCCATCATAAACACTTCACTTGGAATGACATTAGAACCTTCCTAAAGATATGCTTTTAAGCATTTCGCTTTAACCTTTGCAAATGCATTTATAACTGCTGCTGGGTCGAAGGAAAACATCACAAGCCTCTGAAACTGAAGGCCGTGCGTTTTTCTGTAATGATGACCCTGCAGACATTTCTTCTCGGAGAGTCTGCAGTAACTTAAGATACAACACGTAAAGGACAGCCATTCTTGGAGGACAATCTACGCTGAAATGGGAGGAGGGCAGCACGCTTGTAAAGAGTATTTTTTTTTTTAATTCAAGGATTTTGAGGAGATTGCTCCCTGAAGAGCTAGAGTAGCAAGTGTCCGTTCAACAGGGGCGGGGCACCTCTAAACACTGCAGAGACTAAAGTACCAGTTTAAGGTCAGCAGTGCTCGAGGGGAGGCCCCAGGTGGGCTCCCGGGGGGGGGCGGAGGTTTGCACACCCCACAGCAGTCTGAGAGCGGGCACACGCAGCTGCAGAAGGCGAGGAAAGAGGGCGGCACCAGCCAGCCTGCCTTTTACACACACACACACACACACACACACACACACACAAACACCGACGCCCTCCTTCCTAGGGGCGGGGCGGGCGGGCGCTGCCCTCACACAGGAAGTCAGGAAACCCGGGGGGCAGAGGAGCCACAACTTCGAGCCATTTAAACCCTCTCGCCCACGTCAGCCAATGGGCTGGCAAAGACTCCCCTTCCCCCCGCGCCCACCCTGCACCCTGCGCCCCGACCCCTCCCGCGCAGCTCCCGGCCGCACCTCGCGCGTACCTCGGCGCCGACGCGCCTCCCGCACACACCTCCCCCTAACTCCGCCGCCCTCGGCGGGCACGGCCCCGGCCGCGGACGCCTTTGTGCAGCACCTCCCCAACCTGCCCTCGGTCCACGGGGACCCGCGTCCCGCCACCTTACCGAGAGCACGGCGGCCTCCAGGAGGCAGCTCCCTCTTGTACTAACACGGGGTCTGCGGGACGCCGAGGCGAGCCTGAAAGGCGCTCACACCGCGGCGGCCGCGGCCGGCCGGTCCCCGCAGGCTGGTCTCCGAGGGAGGGTAAGTTCCAGGGCACGTCGGAGCGCGCCGGCGCGGGGGCGGGGCGGGGCTGGCTGCTCACGTGATGGTGGGGGGGGGCGGGACGAAGTTCACGTGATGACCCGGGCGGGCGCGGGGTGAATCAGCGGAGGCGGATCCGGGAGAAGGAGGGGGCGGGGGGACGTGGAGGGACTGGATGAGGGATTCGGGCTGGCGAGGTTGCTGCCCGCCAAGTGGGCGTAAGCAGTTTGTAAACATGAAGTGGGAAGCGTGGAGAGAAAACGCTGGGGAGATAACGAGGGAAGGGCGAACGGGAAACGGACGGAGCAGTAGGGTGACAGGAACGGAGCCCAGGGAAGGAGGGGCGGTGGGCCTTGCCCTTTCCTTTTCTTGGCCCACTGGCCTGCTGGGAGCTGCTGCCAGACGTAGGTCAGTCGTTCACGGCCCTGGAAATCCCGCGGGGAGACTCGGAAAAAGTGCCACACGCCACTTCAAGGGGACGAAATGGAACTCTGGAGACTCTGAGTCCATTTACTGGGGCCATGCCGAGCTGTCCTGCGCCGGGGCCACCAGGGCAGATTGCTTGACCAGCTGTGCACACTCAGGGCTGACGAAGGCCCTGGGGAACCCAGGAGCGGCCGCTCCGTGATCTTGCTGCTCCAAAGCAGCATAACCACTCATTAAGCTGCCCACGGGGCCTGCTGTGTGTAAGCCCCAGGGCCACAGTGTCATTGGCCAAAGTCATCACAGTCTGCAGTGTTTGCAGTTTGGCAGCACAGAATCCACAAGTCAGAGGCATTAAAGGTTTCTCACGTGAGGGTGATCCTGTGGCAGCAGTGGTACTGGACTGGGGATCTGGAAAAGATACCTAGCTTCTGCCTTTGTGACTTCTCAACCTCAGCTGTCAAAGGAGTGTGTTGACTGAACCAAAAAGCTCCTCCTTCTAGCCCTAAATTTAATGACTGTGAGGAAAACTAACTCATAAGTATTAGGTCATAAGAAACCAGTCATTCAGTAACCAATTGTTGAGTCTGCCTATTATGGTGCCGAATGAAATTTTAATGATACCAGAATTTTAAAAAATTAAAAATTAAAAAAAAAAGGGGTATGGTTGGGGAGCCACTCTCTGGAATTGGCCCCTTTCTGTTCTTCACCTCATACTTAAAGATGCCCCCATTGTCTGGTGTCCTTCTCATAGCTGAGCTCCCTGTTGTTTTTTAATGGCTGCAAAGAACCCCTGGGATACTGGCAAGATTTTAAGAGCTGTAGTTTTTGTAGTGGGCAGCGCTAAAGTTTAAAATATTTTCCTTTTAAAAAGGAAAGATACTTTAAAAAAGAAAAAAGCCTGAGACCATACTGTCTCTATCATTGCGCTTGCTACCACCCTTCCCTTGGTACCGATGGTTTTTTCTGTCTTCCTCAGTTTCTAACATGTTCCCTTTTCTATGCCCTTGTTCAGCATACGGAGTATTGCTGCTGTATGCTTCTGAAACTATTTGCCATAGAATTTCTCGTGATCTCTTTCTAGAACCAAAACAAGGAACGACTGTGAAAAGTAAACTGTGCCCTGACGGGAATGTGCTGATAACTTTATCTTCCCTACTCCCCAAACCTGAACTGGGCACCCTTGGTTTCAGCAAGAGAGAGAACTGAACAGTTTGCGTATACTTGCTGATCTGCGTGTAACCCTACTTCCTATTTCACAACATAATCTCAGATGATTCCACAATGCCCACAGTATGCTGATCACTACCAACAGCAGATGGAGTCAGAATAAAAGAGCTCTCACCCAAGTGTGTTGTTTGAAAAGGACCTGATGGAGAGCTATGAAATCATTTGCAACACTGCCTCTAGTTGGTTTTTAAATAACACCAGTAGCATATGTCTGGCGCCTGTGCTCAGGATCTCAACAGATCATTTTCAGGATATTGACATTTAACTGGCTTCTAATGAGGTAGCATAGAGTTCCAAGGTGTGGAATTCAAATGTAAGCTCCACAAAGGCAGAGGTTTGAGTTTAATTTGTGTGTATTTATGTATGTATGTGTGTGTCTCCAAAGCGCCTAAAAGCACAATAAATTTCCATTGAATGCATTTTTGAGTGAAAACATACTCTGTAAATTGCTGGATATGCCCTGCTTTCTAACTCTTTAATAGGTAACCCACTTTTCATTGTGTATTTCTAAATGAAAAGGCATAAAATTATGTTTGGCATCCCTGCTTTGGCTAGGCTCTAGAGGAACAGAAATTTGGCAGTACCTATCAAAATTACAAATGCGTACATATTCTGAATTTACTTCTAGGGATTTATCCTCCAGATGTATTTCCACACATGAGAAATGATAAGGTATATCTTATAGTATTGTTGAGAATAGCAAATGATTGGAAATAACCTAAATGTCCATCCTCAGGACCACTAGTTAAATTATGATAAATCCATACATTCAAAAGTGGCTGTTAACAAAAGGAGACACAGATCTTTATGTTTTAATATTACAATCTCCAGAATTTTTTGTTAAAGAGAAAATGTTGCAGAATAATATATTGGCTTGTATATGCATTAAACTAGGACAAACTGTTGAGGCATAAGAAATCTGTGGATGGAGGTCATGGGAAAGACCCTTCATTGTATTCGTATCTAAAGTTTTTGATATTCAAACCATGAGTGCTTTATCTATTCCAAAAAGTTAAATAAAATATTTAATTTAATTTTTTTCTGGTATCTTTATTTTGTTATTAAAACATTCAGGCTTCACCTATTTTATCAAAGTTTACCTGATCAGAAGTATATCAGGTAAACTAGTACATACATCAGGTAAACTTCTTAAAAATTCAGTTAATTTCTTAATTTTTGTTAAGTTCCGATTGAACAATAACTAGTCCTTTCTGAAATAATTTAAGATCCAGGTCCTGCACTTAGTTTGAAGCTTGGTATACACAATGTCAAATATATGTACATTTTTGAAAGTACTTTATTTTTCTTGAAGTAGAGCCTGACTTGAGCAAGTTTTAATGACTTGGATCCTCTGATTTAAGTAATAAAACTAGAATTTCATGGACCCTTTGTTCACTCCTAATTAAGGTCAAGAAAAATATATTTGGGATAAAACACTGAAGGCATGTGTTTCTGTGTCTGTTAACTCGCCCTCCTATTTTCAATAGGTCACCCAGAAGCCCTGGAGAGTATTTTGTCTATGTTTCAGCATTTTATTTTATTTTATTTTATTTTATTTTATTTATTTCTAGGCTTAATTTCCAGAAATTTCTAAGGGAATTATAATCATAGACTACAGTAGCATTCAAATTTACATAACATCATCTCCTTAAGGATTTTAAAGGCTTTGTAAATATTTTCTTCTGAAATCTCAGTTTTCACAACATATTTACATGATCAGTGTTTTTAGACTCTTGTTAAAGACAAATGCAAGCATAAATAATTAGGACTAAAGGGCGAATTGACACCTGGAAATTTTTCCAAAATTGTATAGCCAGGGCTGCCTGACACTAGAAAATTAGTAACGGGTTTAAAAGTTAAGCTATGTAGGGCGCCTGGGTGGCTCACTCATTAAGCACTCAGGTCGTGATCCCAGGGTCCTGGGATCGAGCCCGGCATCGAGCCCCGCATCGAGCCCCGCATCGGGCTCCCGGCTCCGCGGGAAGCCTGCTTCTCCCTCTCCCAACCCCCCTGCTTGTGTTCCCTCTCTTGCTGTGTCTCTCACTGTCAAATAAATAAAATCTTTAAAAAAAAAAAAAGTTAAGCTATGTAACCAGCCAATCAATTAATAAAAGATATATTTTAATTTTAATTTTAATTTATTTTAATCAATAATTAAAGATATATTTTAATTTCTTCTCTTATATCCTTTAAATTAAATATGAACTCATTTAAGCTTTATATATAACTCAAATATAGGCACTAAGAAATAACCCTAAAATTAATACAAATCGATGATCAATAACTCATTATTTAAGTCTATTTACAGCACATGAAAAACCTTTGGTACTTGTCACAAGTAAGCAGTAGTACAATGTTTCAACGTAAAACACAGCTAAAACAGAAATAATATTTCTTGATTTAAAAATGAAGATACTTCCCTAACTTTCAGAACAAGGCAAAGATGTCTGCTTTCACCACTCCTACTCAACATTGTACTGGTGGTTCGACCAAGTATCTGGCAATAACTAAATTTGTAGATAAAACTCTATGTACACTTATATAATTTGGTACAGTAGCTAAGACACACAAACAAATCACATTACTAAAATCCATATGCTTGGACGGGAGGATTAAACAAAATAAAAGCACCTACCCCAAACCTGGCATTTGGTAGGTGGTCAGCAAATGATAAACTTGAAGTTCTGTGGAGTTTTTCAACACTTCGTGAAAGAGTAATTTGTTATTAAGTAGTGGAAGATGGATCTTTACAGGTTTATACAAGCAAGGGATGAAAATAGACTTCTGTCTGGGGTGCCTGGGTGGCTCAGTTAGTTAAGCGCCTGACTCTTGGTTTCGGGGCTCAGGTCGTGATCTCATGGGTCCTGAGATGGAGTCCGGAACCCGCATCAGGCTCCCTGCTCAGCGACAGTCCGCTTGGGATTCTTTCCCTCTCCCTCCCCCTCTGCTCATCTCCCACTTGCACTCTCTCTCTCTTCCTCTCTCTCCCATCAATCAATCAATCAATCAATCAATCATTTAGAAAAGACAATATATTTCTTTCTTAGTTTGGGTTCCTCCAGAAGCTGACCTTGAGGCAAGGATTAAAGTGCAGAAAGTGTATTTGGGAGATGGTGGAGGAACCATGAGAGTGAGGGAAGGAGACAGGGAAGAGGGCAATTAATAAAGGCTGCCTGTGATGGGCAGTTGGAGGTTAACCCTACCAGGGAGATTCTGGGAGCAGAGCAAGAATAACGTCTCTTCTATTTTCAAATAAAACTGATAGCAGCCCTAAGATCAAATACAAATTGAGTTTGTGAGATTTTCTAAAGATATGTGCAAGATGGAACCAGCCATCATAATCCTAT